CTACTACTACTAACTACTAACTAACTACTACTACTACTACTACTACTACTACTACTACTACTACACTACTACACTGTACTATACTAAGCTATACTAGACTATACTTTACTTCACTACTACTAGCACCACTACGACGACGACGACTACTACCACTACTCTTACCACCACTACTATTACCATCACTACTACTGCTACACGACTACTGCTCCTGCTGCTGTTTTCGATTTTTTTGATAGCAGCTACGGCTTATGCGTATGTTTGTAGCAAGAGTAATGTGATAGTGTTAGCAACAACACTGAAGTTCAAAGCGCTGTCTGTGCAGATACGAAAAAGGCTAGGATTAGTTCTGATGACGGTCACTGACGGTCACTCGTACATCTCAACTAGTCAGCGCAGTCAGCCCGTCGTGACTTAAGGCACCGGCTCATTGGGGTGAGCGATGTTGTTGGCGATGCAGAGCAGATGGCGCCCGGAGCTTACCGACCTTAAGCTCAAAACACCGCAGCACATACAGGTAGTGCATGAAGGGCATCAATACTTACGTAAGAACTCTGCTGTTAGACTGTTACACATTCATGAGTTACTTCACACTTTGTGGCAGCGTGTAGGAATGAGATGTTTCTGGGAATTCAAGTTGGCACAGGCCAACGAAGGTGATAATCTCTTTCCAACGTGGCAACAATCATACGCAGGAATCCAGAGGCAAATACAACGCCACAGTAGAAAAGGGTGTTGAGAGTTGAAAGCCACTAGACCAGCATCAGGAAGACTCTGACTAAAGAGCTGAAGAATGCTTTCCACACTCGCGCGACTGCTTGACTAAGCCAGTGTAGTCTTTGTATTGGCCTTGCACCGACACATGATGGCGATACAGTGGGTGCTTAAATCCACCTTCACCAACGCAGGCGTGAACTTTGCGGCGAAGGCACGGTACTTTCGGGTAGTCTTGCTTTGCACTGCATGCTTCGATTGGACGTGTTCTTGCATGGTATGCGAGAGCCTTCTGTTCTCAGTGGGAGGGCGTGTGGAACAGTCAGGCATCACGGCCCAAACGGTCACTTGTAAACTTCGTTGGCCCAACAGCACATCTCGTCTCGGCACCTGCGCATTCACTCATGCCTTCAAAGGACAAATCACGCTTGCCTTGCGAAATTTGTATTGCAAGGAGCCCGCAGCCCTGACGTGGTGCTGGACGTGTCCGGCCGCTGAAGTTGTCGGGAGTGAGGGCTGCGAGAGTCCTATAGAGTGGACGAAGCTTACTTTACCAGATGAGTCGAAATCTGCTAGGCACTGAGAGTGTAAGTCGACTTGCCTAAGAAGGCACGGAGCAGATAGCGGCTCTTTGTAGTTTTGTCAGAAATCCCTGCTTTCAGTTGGAGCCTTCTGAAACATGGTAAGTTCGCTGTTTCCCCGGCAGCACCGACGTCACTAGAGCTCACATTGAACTAGCATAACAAAGCGAACTCGACCCGGCTACAAGTCGGAAAGCTGACGACAAACTAGTCAAGGTAGAGAACATGCCAAGCAATTCATCCAACTGATTCACATCGAATGGTGCTAAGACCAAAAAAACCGACATGAATCTGGTCCTCAGGCGCAGTGGCTGGGTCGCAGATGGTGCAAAGGTCGAGATGGAGAATGCCTGGGGCTGAGCAAAGGAATCGGCGAACTAGTCCTGGCAGAGAACGAAAAGCTCGCCATGACGTATTGTGTGTCAATCTCCTTGTGCTGAAGTGCTCGCAGACCACTGCTCCTCCCATGGCTTTCTGCTATTTTGCTGTGCACGAGGTTCCACAGGCGGCTTTCTTTACCCAGACTCAGACTAGCCAGTATCAGGTCAAGGCTGGCTACGCCGACATTCCTCGAGATGTGCTCAAGGGTATTAACCTTGTTTTCCAGCCGGTGCCTCAACAGGAGGGATCTGCTAAGCCTTCACAGAGGCTTCGCCTGCAAGCCACTGCGTCCGGAGACCCGAGGCCCAAGACCAAAGTCGGCATTGTGGGCACCACTGGATGCGGCAAGCCAGGGGCTTAGCGTACACCGACTAAATGGAACTCCAACATTTCGCGCATACGCACGGAATCGATGTCCAAGGTCGAGCCTACTCTTGGCCCAGTGCTCAGCATTCAAGGCAGGCCTGCGTGACTTTGAGCTGCTCCGGTGATGGGGTGAGACCAGGATCTTGGGGTTTAGACTCCACTGGATCGCTACGTGTCAGTCTCCGCCAGTTGGGAGGCAAAGCATCATAAACCCCAAAAAAGCCCTCAACTGCATAAGCCTTGATTCATCGAACCCAACTGCCCGCAAACTAAATTTTACACCTAGCCCTCCCAACCCCGGCCCTCCCAAGCATGGACGAAGCCTTAGGTGCTCCTGCGCATCCTGGAGCCAAGAGCTGGACGGGCCAGGAGCTGAGATGCTCTATCCAATAGTGTTGCGCGTAAACAGAAAGGAGACGCCCGTATGAACAAATATATATGTATATAAATATATACATCTGTAAATATTTTAAACAAACAAATATGTATGTGTGTATATATATATATAGAGTTTCATAGATGGGTATAGCATTATGTTTTCTTGCCGACCATTCCGATTTCACTGTGCTTGCCCAATTAGATAGGGTTTACTCGATGAAATAGGGTTTACCCATTAGACACTGGTTTTCCGATTAGATACTTACCCATTAGATCATTCCCGAGTGACAAAGGTTTAGGGAGTTCTCATTTAAATGGTTTGGCCTGGCTCACCTTGACTTCATGTTCCAAAAAGCCAGAGAATCTTAACACTCTTAGAGATACTGCAGCGTATGTTTATTATTATTGCTAGATACATATGCATCTAGATTCTAGTCAACTAAGTTTGAGGTGCTGTATACATGCATGCATGCATGCATGTATGTAGAAACTATTCAGCTGGCAATCTATCTAGTCATCTGTCTATCTTTCTCTATCTATCTATCTATCTATCTATCTATCTATCTCCCTATCTCTATTTATCAAGTCATCCATCCATGCATACATGCATCCATCATTCTATCGATCTATCGATCTGTCCGTCTGTCTATCTACCTATTTAGCTATATATCTACCTATCTATCTATCTATCTATCTATCTAGGAGGCAAAAAAATCTATCTATCTATCTATCTGTATATGTATATGTATATTCGTACGCATGCAGGGATGATGTAAGATGGGTAGTTAGGTACGTGGGTCAGTAGGTTGGTAGGCCTGTGTGCAAGTATGCATGCATGCAAGGATGTATGTAGACATGCATGTATGTATGTATTGATGGATGGATGGCTGGCTGTATGACGTAACCACCTTCAGAGAATGGGTAGGGTTATGAGCATTGGCGGTCACCAGTCAAGTTGTTTGATTCTGCGCTCCTGAGCTGCAGCCGGAGCGGTCTGTTGTGGCTGTTGCTTCGTGTAGAGTGTGCTAGCGGTGAAGACACCTGGCCATCTCGCGCCTGCCATCCCCATTTTCTGCCAGGGTTGATTTTGAACCATGGACGCTTGAGCAGGTTCTTATCAACAGTGTGGACACGCAGAAGCTTGGTATCAGCCTCGCCTGTATCGTGAGAATTTCTGCTTGCATGGGTGGCTGTGTTTTTGGAGAACATGCAGCAAGAGCCATCCCACTGACCTGTTGCGGACATGTCAACATGAATCGCGCGCGAAACTAGAGGAGGAGCGTCATGCTTTTGCATACTGCCTTGCCGACTTTTCTGGCCCCAGACATTGCTTGAGTTGGTTGTGGTGACCTCGTTCGTCGCAGTGGCAGTTGAAAGAGATGGGTGCTAGATTCTGCTAGATCTCAGTTTGTCAGCTGCCTTCCAGCAGTTGCTCCAAACTCCGGCTGAAGCTGCATGGTTTGAGTTTAAGGCCTCATGACCTTGCGTGGAGCGTTGGGTCTGGTGCCACAGGCACTGCATGGCTCTGCAGCAGTTAAACTGCCGTGATCTGTCATGAATGTGTCGGAAGCATTGAGCCGTTCCTTCCGGGGATCCTCAGCCGGGACGCCAGCCTTGCAGGATCCCATTCTCTTCACCGGCAGCTTACGTCCGGACCGCAGCTGCCAGAAAGGTGAGGAGTCGAATGGCAGCATGCACACTTGTGAGAAGGCGCGCAATCGCACACAATCAATCATACGATATGTTGCGGGAGTTTCCTGTGCCGGCCCTCGATGTCTTGCTTCAGCAAAGTTGCTCATGCAGAAGCCCGGTACTCCGAGGTCACAACCTGGACCCCTTGGAGTACTACACGGCCAGTGCTCCCGGTTCTTCATTCTTTTGCAAGAGACGTTGAGCTGGCCGGGGCAAGGGGAAGACTTGCAGTTTCATGTGGAAGCGAGTGGACGATCTGCTTGGCCCTTGCACGCACGAGTCGTTTCCAAGGACGGACGAATCTGGGAGGCTTTGCGCCCCTAGCTTGGTTTGCAGAGGTGGCTTCAGTCATATCAAGGCAGAGCAAGTAGTACAGTGACATCTCAACTGGTTAGATCGATGTGCTGTTGGTTTTGCCGTAAAGCCTGGGAAAACTGCTTAAAATTCATGGCGAGGTGTTGGAGAAGCATATTAAACACACTGCATGAGCGAAGACAAAAATATCAGAAAACATGTAGCCTGGACGATATGTGTATATGTATATATGTATATGTATGTGTGTATATACATATATGTGTATCTATGTCTGTCTGTCTTTCTGCCTGTCTGTCTGTCTGTATGCATGCATGCATGCATGCACGCATGTATGTGTGTGCACATGTGTGTATGTGTATATATATATATATAAATATGGCATGGTACCCCCCTCCTGCATGAAGTACCGACCCTCGTTTGGTATCGCAAATACCGTCTCAAACCAGCTACTGCGGCAGGTCCGGATTCTGTATCTGTCAAAGAAGGACAAAATCAAAAGCTCATTTCAAGAGAACGCGCCGCAACTCGCCCAGGTTCGACGTGAACACGTACTCAACGGCAACACTGTGCCCGACTTTCGCTTGGCAAAACCCAAAAACAGCTAATAACATCTTGTGGGACACCATGCGGCCAAACTCTCAAAGGATTGTTTGGTTCGTTTCTCCTGGGAAGGGAAAAATTGATTTCGCCTATGAAATTGATGGTTTTGGAATGAAAACCTTAATTTTTCCCAGGGGAACAAAAAGCAAAATTACATTGTTTGGTACACTATACGGCTAAGGTCCAAGCAGGTGTCTTTTTCCTTTCCAGTTCTATGAAAAAGTTGGTGTTTCATCCAACTTCATTTTGTAGTTTGTGCTCGTTGCGAATTATTGGGGAGCTTTAATACTATATGACATATTGACTACTAGCAGGCCATTGTTTCGGATCATTTTTAAATTATTAGAGAGCTAGTACTGCAGGTTTAACACAGGCCAGGACTCGGGATATGGATATCATGATTATCACAGTTACGGCTTCGATTTCTTCCAGCTCTGACTAATGTTGTACATCTAATCGGAGAAACATTTGAGATCAGATTATGAGTGGCACTGCGGCTACTGCGCACGATCTTAGGGCTGTTGTCAGGGCCAGTATTAAGGTCACGGACCATGGACACAAGGGCGACTGGCAAGGGGGGTTAGGTTGATATTGCAAGGAATCAGGAATCAGTTAACGATCATGGTCATTATGTTGGTTTCTAGTACAGGTTTAACCTTAGGGTAAGCATGTGCATATACACACATGTACATACACGCATGCACGCAAGTCCGACAGCAAGTCCGACATGAGCATATGCCGCAGCAAGCAGCAAGGACTGCCTGCTACAATATACCATGGATACTAATGAAAGACATTTCGTGTAATGTAATACAAACACGAATATGACGGTTGCCGTTGAGGAAACTAGTTGGGCAGCATTTAGGTTACCTGTATAAAAACTAACAGCAACTAGTATTGGGGATGCCATGATTTTTAACTTCTGGGTTCATGAATGCTCCTGGTAGGGATACCACAGGCACATCCGACGAATTAGGTTCTTACTGAGGCCAATGGTAAGGGTCTTTCCTAAGGCCGTTATCTGCGTTTGTAGGGAGCATTCGGTGCACTACGAAGCTGAAAAATGGGGATAGCTCCTAGGCGATATTAAGTTTGCGACTAAGGTCCATCTTGAAGTCAGATCCAATACTAGGGTTGCCAGAGGGACTCCAGCATCCGTACAATTGGGGTGCCAATCAGGTTAATGTATATTGTTAGGTTACCTTCAGGTAGATATGGGAGCTAATATCGGGATGTACAGTGGGGATACTAGTTGGGATAGCATGTCAACCCATACGAGCTATGATGTTGAGCTATAGGGCATCGCTTTTGGGTGAACATGAGACAGATTACTATTGCTACTGCAAGACGCATACCGGGCTAGGGTTAGGCTTGCGAATACGATGAAGGCTACATTCAAATTTAGCTAGCGTCAGATTCTCGAATATGAAAGCGGGAGCAGCATCATTGCTCGTCCTGGGGTTGAATGTCCGATTGACGCATAGTGACACTGCGGGTATCCTTAGGCCATTATCAAGCCTATTGTCAGGTTCAGCATTGGGGCCAATGTAAGGGCTAATGGCAAGGTGGGTCTTAGGGATACTGTTGTTTACAAGCAAAGGCCAAGCAAGTCTCACGGTAATTCATATGTGTCGTTGGGGCTTTGGTCAAAGGTCGTTGTGAAGGTAAGCACGCCCGGAGGTTCTGCCCTACGTGGCACGTCCCTCTCCACTCGTTGTCCTCATGGAGGCGACAGCGAAGGCTAATCCCCCGCCCTGGCGCCCCCAGCGGGCCTTGTCAGCGAATTCCGCGGCACGGCGGCCGATGAGTTTCAGGCTGCCGCTGAATTTCATCTGCAGCAAGGCAGCGCAAGCCTTGCAGCCAGGAATATGTTTCGGGCCAAACATGCCTATCATGTTCTGCTTCTCGCTCTGCTTGTCAAGGATCCGTGCAGGTAAGCCTTCGAAAAGCCATGCCCAAAGAGCTCCACTGGCTGGGCACGACTGTGCTGGGCACGGAACACCTGTGGCCACGAGATATGGAAGGCCACGTGCCGGACATCATCCCCAGACGTCTCGGATGGGTGTTTGGTCGCAGCTCTAAACTTCGTCCACCGGCGCTATCTCTACAGACAAGCGGTTGTGAGCACCGCCGCCAACGAGTGCATGTGGGCAGGCTTCCATCAGGGACTGGAGCGGGACCCAGTGGACATGTTGCTGCTGTTGCTGCTGCTGCTGCTGCCGCGCCTCGCTCGGTGCTGTATAAGTTGGGCATTACCCTGCAAGATCTTTTCCCTCGCCCTGATGCGAACATTCACAGAGAATTTACTTTCATCATAGGGAAAAATCATTTCTCGGAGTATCTGCCAACGAAGGCGGCTGCCGATTTACACGTGCTCTTTTTCTCGCGTAAATGTAGGAGGGTTGGTGGCGGTATCGCGGCACCTCGCGTTAGTTCTTCGGGGGGCCTTAGCATGCACACATACGTACACATGTCATATAGTTAGTGAAGAACACGGTTAAAATGCATACGGATTATGTACATAGCACATAAGCTACATGCTGCCTGCCACAACCATTTCCTAAACGGGGAACTCCACGAGCTCATTGATTCGTTGCAAGGTTATGGCGACAATTCCAGGGGCCACACAGTGAGAATTGGAATAGGGTTTTTATTGTAAGCGTTAGCCCGAGGCTGTGCGCACCTCGACGGCCTTGTGCGATCCTTTGTGGGCGGTCTGGACTATCAGGCTCTCAACTTGCCACGGCATTTCATAGGATCTGAATGGCAGGAGGCTTCTCATAAGCATCCCCCAGACAAGACACCACGAACTGTCACACTTCATGCACTTGATGAAGTGCTGGTGAAATAATTAGGATGCAAGTATAGTAATGGCTCGATGGCAGTGTAACTGTAAACTACGATAAAGGTAAAGTGATAAGCAGCAACGTGGTGATATTCACAATTTCTTCCCCAACTTGCAATTTCATGGGAAGCCAGGGCTTGGCACAAATTATGGCCTAACGATCCGACATCTTCGAGGTGATTTGTTACAACATCCGCCATGATAAAATTATGAGTTGTAGTATTGATGCGACTAGCTAGCCAGAGCTGGCCAGTTACTTACCTGCCTACGTACCCCTCTATGTTAGGTGATTCTCTATCTACGTGTCTGTACATACACACTCACACTTTCTGCTTTTAAATGTTTGCAAAAACGTCTCACCGTTGTGAAACCTTTGCATCTGCAGGTTAGCGATGAGGGCTCCAACTTGAGCTTTGGGCAGCGGCAGCTTTTCTGCCTGGCGAGGATGGTCCGAAGCTCAGGCTCCAGAGGACAAGCATGGTTTTGAGGCACTTTTCGTTCGGATCGGGATTGTTTCACGGTTTGACGGAGCTGTTGGAGTTTCAAACCTCTGGGTTTCAGGGTTTAGGGTTTGTCTCGCACAGCAGAGTCAAGATTTTTTTCCTGATAGCACTTCTGAAATTGCACCGCCACACCTGAACTGCAGCGCAGCAAAGGTGTTGAGGCAGCCTTCGCTGCTGTTGTTGGATGAGGCCAAACCTGAGCATTCCCTGCCCCTGCGAAGTGTGCCTGCGACGTCCTATGACTTACGGCTCTGAGCCTCTGATTCTAGGTAATCTAGTTGCTATATGAGTTGCTTTTTAATTGGCATGGGGAGAAGGTCAGCCGAGTACAGGTTTGAGTTCCCAGCATGAGGTTGGCCCTTTCTCTCCCAAGCGCCGAAAATCTGCGGACTTCTCTCCTCCACGGCTTTTGGCTTTTTCCGTTTTCATGCTTGCCGCTTGGCACGATATCCGAAGGCTGACCATGGGACGTAGAGTATATTCGCGCGCAAGTGTGAACCTGTTGCTTGCTGGAGGCGACATCCGCGATTGATCCTCGAACGCAGGCACTTGGGCGATCCTTCGCAGTGTTTTCTGATCCTGGTTTTAGGCTGGAAGCTAGGAATGAGGTTGGGCGGTGAGCAGGATCAGGTGGATCGAACTGGGTGCGTGGCAGCATTCGTAGGGGACCGGTGGGTGATCCCTGGTGGTTCATGCCGGGGCTGCAGCAGTGGAAGTAGGAAAGCCGTTGCGCCCACGCATATTGCTGCCATCACCGGTGAGGCCTTAACCTACAGTAGAACATGCATGGCGGAACACCATACAAATTCTGTGGCCATCGTTATGACAGGCTTCGAGCTGTGATCATAATCTGTGCCTTGGGTTCCATGTGGCCGAGGCCTAGGCCCATCCCGACCCACGCTCCTAGATCCCAGGTGATGCGACGGAGGGGTTTGGCAGTTCTTGTCTCGGGAGTTTATAACTTGAGCCGGTGCATCCGCAAGAAGCTGGAGAGGTGGATAAGTGGATGCAAGCTAGCGCACCTGCATCCGAGTGACCAGCGGCACTGCCGTGAGACAGGAGAATGTGCAGGAAACTATCAGTGGGCACCCCAGCATCCGTGCAGTGGCGATTGTGCAAGCAAGGCAGGTGGCCACAAGATGTGCAAGATCCTGCGCGGGGTTGTGCGATGATAGTGCGGTGGATTTAGTTTGGGAGATCGCTGCAACACACTGAAGTGCAGCTCCCAAGACCCTGCGGAGCTTCCTGCTAAGGTCATGCTTTTCCAGATTCGACACTGGTGGCGATTGCGCATCGCCCGAAGACTCAGTGCTGAAGGGTAACGAGCCGATGAAAACAACAGCAAGGGCAAAGAGGTTTGTCGGTTTGGCGCGTGTGTTTGAATGAGATCCGGCGGTTGGTGCAGAAATTTTCGGAAAGGAATGCCGGAGCGATGCATGGGAACCCCAAAACCATCCACTCCATGGCACAGGGGGGTGGGCGGGCTGGGCGGGCCTAAGGCCTGAGCGTCTCTACCCCTACGCCCGACAGACGGAAAGAGGTTGAAACAAAGAGACACCGAGACACCGCCTGCCCTTGGCTGAGTGGTAGAAGAAGGCGCCCAGTTGCGCGAATGATTCGCGGGGTATGTCCGGTAGGCGCCTGCGGGTGGCCTTCGAGAAGCAAGACCGCTCGTGCGAGAGCAGTCGGGGTCTCCCCCTGAAGAACACCCCGGCCTTGAGGCTAACGACAAGAACGAAACTCCAGCGAGCAAGCAAGAAGCAGGGCTAACTTCTCTTCTTCGAGAGTGCAGCATGTCAGGCCTGGAGACGGTGCTCGAATTTGACCAAGTGGTCGTGCTGGATTCTGGGGAGGTTGAAGAGTGGGACCCTCAGTGATTGCAGCCTCTGGATTGCCTCGAGCTGTTGCTCCTCACAAAGCTGGCTTCTTGGCTTTAGGATGAGTTTTGTCCCAGGTGGACCGCTTTGGGATTTGCTGAAGTTGTGGTCTGTTGTTTGTCTGTTTGTATGGGTTCCAGCTCGCTGGAGTCCGGAGCCGGCAGCACTCCCGAGGCAAGGCACGCCAAAGGAGCTCCAACAGCTCCAGGACTTGACTTGACGAGAGCCCATGCGGGAGCGCATCCCTATGCAGTGGGATCCTTGCCATACGGACCACGTGCGTTACCCCTAGTTTGCTGAATCTTGTGCCGTCTTCGAATCTGCTAAAGATTTCGAGAGCATGAGCGCGCAACTACGTTAGAGGTGGCTGAGGAGAGGTGGGGTTCAAGGGTTTTAGCGTTTTGGGTTCGAGGGTTTGGGGTTTTGGCAACTTTCGCCGATCATTGTCCCATGCCGTTCCAGCCGCAAGTTGATGGAGGATGGCCAGTTTCGCAGGATGCTCGCGGCAAAGAAGGCCCTTCCTGGGGAGCCTGTGTTGTGTGGGCCTTTTTTTTCGGAGGGGGGTCCCCGGGAAGGAACGAACGGAGGGAAGGAAGGAAGGAAGGAAAGACGAAAGATATGCTGAATACACATATACATGTACATACAGATATACATATAGATATATTCTATGTAAGAGTACTATGCTACTTTGTAGTATAGTATCTTATTTATTAAGTATCTACGATAGTGTTTCTATACGTACACACAAATATGCATGCATCTGTGTATGTATGTGTGTATGTGTGTATGTATATATGTATGTATGTATGTATGTATGTATGTATGTATGTATACACACTGCACGTATATTGTAGTTTATGTAACTTTTAGATCGTTTGCTTTCTAATATAATAATTGATACTCTCTGTCTCATATGATGTTCATGAACTTATATACATACCGCACACACACACACATATATATATATATATACACATACTACACCCGCCTCAGCGACCTACCGTATTTGGCTTGCGCACGCAATGTTCTAAACATTATTATGGCGACTTCACTGACCTAAACACACTCTCCTTTCGAGTGGTACACATGACATATCGACCACTTCTAGTTTTGCTTCTCTCGCCAGAGCCATGGTTGCTGTATGCAGAAACATGTGGCAAATAAGTAATAGGCTCTAAGCCAGCATCCACGGAATAATTGCGTAACTCTTAATGTTGTGTATCTCTACTACGTGTTTTGTATTCTCAACACTTCCTTGGTACAAAATGTTATCAGTTCATACATGTTACATGATGAATCATAAATCTGACAACAACTAATGCCGTGGGGGAAACCTTGTCAGTGCTGGTTTACGTATTTACTCCCTGTTACTTCAAACCTATGCAATATATATCACGTCTTCATAGTTCTCCGTAAGCTAATTACTAACTGAATCTTTGTTGGGGATGACGGTAATGAAGTATTAGCGAACTGTTATTTGTAGAGGTTTCATAATCGATCATAAAATGCACAAGCCAAATAATCTGTACTTGAATGTTTGTTCAATCGCATGTTGCCAATGCATTTCGGATGATTTTGGAGGTGATCTACTAGTGATACTATGATGATAAAAGAGGATGATCTTAGAAGTGATTCGTATATGGCATAAATGTAAGTTGCCAACCAGTAATATCGAATGAAAGCCGGCCGAAAATTGATAAAGTATCCCCTACATGCTACTGCATCAACTGCTTCAGTACGTTTTTGAGCTTCAACATAATATCAGGGCGGTTTTAAACCAACCGAGTATACATACCTCTGTAGGTGATATTCTTTGATAAAGAACTATTGACATGTCCACCCGGCATTGAGCAACCCAAAACTGTGCAGTACATATAATAGTAGCTGGAGCATGCTGATCACATTTGGGCCCTTCAGACATGTGTTCAACCACGTATTCTTCCCTCCCTGCACCCCAGCAACGGCAAGGCCAAGTGTGCCGGAATCGGGGGGAACCCCGACATCGGCCCCGACCCATCCCGACCCCAATCAAAACTGCACTTTACGAAAAGAAGATATCATTCAATGAATGGAGAGACCAAGTGTGACCCCTTCCCTCCCTGCACCCTAGCAACGGCAAGGTCAAATGGGGGCTACCCCGAGATCGCCCCGACCCCAATCGAGATCGACCCCGCAATCAAAAACGCACTTTTTACGAACAGAATTTATCACTCGTAATCTGGTCTTGATTTTCCAAAAATTGTCTGCTCCCTCCGCCTCCCTTCACCCAGGCCAAATGTGCCGGAATGGGGGGAACCTCGAGATTGGCCCCGACCCCCATCAGAAAACCCATTTTTACGAAAAGAAATGATCATTCAAAATCTGGCCTTGGTTTTTTTTTAAACGCACTTTTTTGCGACTGCAAGTCTCGCGTGCGGCTGCTGTCCCCGCGGAGCTGGCAGGCTAGGCCCTATACAGCTACGTCCTCCGGCCCGCGGCTCACGCGCGCAGCGGCAAGCGGCTTGAGCCTGCCGGAGCTGCAAGCTCGAGCACGTGCTCGAGCGGGGGAGCATCGCACTGG